CACAGGCGCCTGTGGTGCTACGGGTAGGCCACCCCGCTATGCACCAGTGCGCGGCAGGACTGCCTACCCCAGGCGCCTGTTGTGGTCCGGGTAGGCCAACCCGCTATGCACCAGTGCCCGGCAGGACTGCCTACCCCACAGGCGCCTGTGATGCTCCAGGAGAGCTCGACAGGACTTATTCTTATCCCACAGGTTCCTGTGAGGCTTTCGGTAGGCTGTCCCGCAAGACACGAGTGTTCAACAGGACTGCCTATCCACCAGGCGCTTGTGACGCGCAGCCTCAAAGGGCACACAACGGCACGTTTGCCAAGCACAGAGAGCCGGCTTTACCGCCAGAGTTTCTTTGTGCCCCGCGCACATGTCCCGCCGTAGTTTTTTTAAAGTTTATTTATTTGTGACAGTTCCACCTTTCTTTTCCTTGGCGGCTCATGCCTTAGGAGGCTTAGCTGATAGGCAGGGCAAGTCCATCTAACTGGACTGGGCATCTAACAACTGTACCGTGTGTCAAAGCTACGACACACAGAAGTAGGCGAGTTTGCCTACACTCTTCACCCAAGAACACAGCTGTGTCGTAGCTCTGACACGATTATTAACCAACAAACAGCGTGATCCATAGACCCCTTCCTTTCTTTTGCTTATGCTGCACCGGAATTAAATCTTAGCTTTAAATTTCAAACTGACATTTTTTTAAAAACTGCAGTACAGCTGTTGTGCGTTTTAAACTGCATTTACAGTATACTTTCGTAGTCGTTAACTTTGTTTTATCGTTAGATTTGAGGGGTACACCCTAAGTATTCTGCGCGTAATGCATTCTTATATGGTAAATCGGTATGGTTTTAAAGACAAATTCAGACCGTGCCTTAGTCACCCTTTGAGCCAGGCCCGGCGAAGGGGTAATAACCGTCTTTATTCGCTCTGCTCGTATCGGGCACGCGCTAGGTGGTGTGGGTGGTGCGGTGGTGTGGGGCGGGGTGGGGTGGGCCTCCCACTGGAGCTCCAGGGAGGGATCGGCAATCACCTTGAAATCTGTAATGGGATCGCCTTGTGTCCTGGTGGGGCGGGGAATACTGGGGCGTTGCTCGCGACCACCATCAACACCACACCTCCACCCTCCTCCCTCACTATGAGCTCTCCTCCCCTTTACCCTCCCACCTTCTGCAACCCATTGTTTTCGACGCGTGCAGAATAAGGCGATGATCGCTCGTGCTGCTCGTGCAATTAGTGGTGTGTGTGCACGCTCGTGCTGCACTGGCGATGCTCCAGGGCGGTGGGGCGGAGGCCTTTGCGCCGCTCAAGGGCCCATGGGCTCCACCCGGCTGTCGCCGCGTCCTTACTAGACGCTTCCTTTTTCGCATGTTTCTCTCTTATTTCTCCTTGCTCCTGGCGGCTCTGGCCGTCGTGCTCCTCGAGGAATGCTCCAGCGCAGGTGCCCCGCGGCCGCATCGGGACGGCGCGGAGCTGCGGGCCGTAGAAAGCGCGGATGGTACGATGTGTCGTCGCCTCTGAAGGGCGCGATGAGGCGTGGCGGGGTGGGGCGGGGTAGGGGCGGGGCGGACGAGTTGCGAACGCGTAGCGCGTCGGAGTGAGCGTTTTCAGCCCTGCTGCTGATGGCTTTGTCTTGATGCGGGCGAAAGCTACCGGCATGCTTTATGCCTCGTCTAGAGTGGTCGAGCTCGTCGCCCCGGCTGTGCCGCGCCCCGCCCGGCCCTTTCCAGCACCTGTGCCTCCAGGCCTGCCGCGGCGTGCTGCACGTGCTGAGTAACGCGCCGCAGTGCGAGAGAGACGGCTGCGCCGCACTGTTGCAGGAGGACTGCCAGTGAGCGTGCCGGTGTGTGGAATTCCCTCGCAGCGACTCATTTATCAGTTTACAAATGCGTTCCCTGACGCGCCCCGTCCCGCCCCCCTCCCCCGGGCCCCTCCCGACCGCGAGTCACTGTCCCTGCGTCTCTCCTGTGTTTTTTTCTGCTCCTCACTCCGCGGGCCGTGACAAAGTGTAACGCGCCGGTCACGACGCGGCGCGCCGCTGGACGCTTCTGCGGCGCGGCTTGGCGTGGCGTGCAGGATTGCGGACCGTCCCGAGGGTGGCGGACAGCGGCGGACAGCGGCGGACAGGAGGAGGTGGACCAGCTGCTCCACTTCACCAGAGAAAGTGCCGGTCAGCGGGAGGCGCGTAGAGACATATTGCATATCTTTAATGCACCGACCGACGCCCGCGGCCGCCGCGGCCCCGCAGAGAGGGGGCCGCCATTTGGCTGCGCCGGGCACACCCTTACCATAAGAAGGTTCTTGCCTGCCGTAGTAGAGCCGCGAATAGAGCACTCTAAACTTTTTTCTAAAAAATTTGCTGTGCTAACTACTGAAGTTGTGCTGTTATGTATTATCAAGAAATTCTATAGCATAAGTAAACTTTTTCATAGTATCATACATATTACTAGGACGCACCGTTTGGTAAAAACAGGAAAAAGTGAAGAAATAATGAAGAATTGATAATAAACAGCACCAGTTACTAAGCAAATTTTCTGGTTAAAAGTTAAGCCTTCGACGTCAGTTTAACCAAGCTTCTAAAACAATGAATTTTCTTCTGACTTTTTTGAGCACGTACGTCAATTTAAATCAAATTGAAAACGTAAATCGACATTGGTTTTTCTTAGAAGCCTAGGACATGGCAGAGTTAGCTATGTAGCCTACCACATTGACATCTTTCGTGATGGGTGAGACCATGAGACCTTTTGTTAAATATTTGGGGCAATCGAACATATACCCTTACGGAGGGCGGCCCCGTTCAGTGCGTCCCCTCTGTTGGCGTGCCGATGCTTCCGCTACTGGCTTCTCTGCTTTGCCTACGGCCCGGCCCGGCCATTAGCACGACCAGCCAACTGTGCAGCGTCCGGCGGTTCGCTTGTGGCTTTGTGGCCGGGGCGCGGCGCCAGTAAGCCGAAGTCGA